AAAAGACTGACTGTATATGAAAAACTGTTTTAATTGAAAATGCAACTGAAATGGTTGAGAGATAAATTTCTTCGAAAGTTTTCCCTTTTTCTAATTGAATGTAAAATATGATTTTTAAATATATACCCTTGATATAATTTGTGCACCCATCGCAAATGAAAAATAAATCAAACACATAAATGTGCGATACCATATAAACGAATTCACGATCATTTTATTTTCAACAAAAAAAAACAGCGGGTTTTGACCAAAATCTTTGGAAAAATATTAGTGAGCTTGATTTGGAAATCTTGTTGAAACGGTCTTTAAAAGCTCGCCAATAGCACTGAATCATACTCGAGTGAATGCAACTCATTTTATAGCAACAAATCAATCGACTATCAACGAAAAAATTTAACTTGCAAAAGATGTATAAAGTTCAATAACAGATTAAAGAATTATTCCTTAGGGAATTTAAATTGGCATGACTCAAGTGCATTGATTGTTTATTATTCATTGATTTGCCGAGAAGAGGAAGAATAAGTGATATTGAGTAACATTTATAAAAAGACTGAATTTATTTTGGTGCATTCTCTCGGATGAAAATTGATTCGTCTCAGATGAGTCACTAAAGAGCCAAAAAAACAAAAAAACTTCAGCGCTTGCACTTCAAACGAAAGATAGCTTAAAACGAAGGGGAAAAAGCGAAAAACAGTAAAAAGATATTAAAATATGTTATTTATTTTTACTCTTGAAAAAGTGTTCGTTCTCTCTTTTTTTTTTAATTAAATTTAAACCAACAAATAATTATTCATCTTCTGGTATATTGATTGCCAATGTCCATGCGGTGTGTAGACCTGATTTATCGATTTGAACTTTATCTGGGAATTCGATGTACATTGACTCATCTGAGCCATACCACTAAAAAGAATCAATAACATTGATTTAAATTCAAAATTTTCCACCGAAATCAACAAGTCAACATACGTTTAATTTTTTCGAATAGCCCAACATTTTGACTTTGGTGTTACTGTCGAATTTTCCACCAAGTGAATATAAATTGATTCCGGCCGAATCATATGGATATTTCAGAACAATTGCATACACAATTGTACGTTTGGTCGTTTCTAATTTGCTGGTATACCAAACATCTGGGGTTTTAGTATCGTTTTGATGAATCCATGGATGACTACCATAAATTGCATCACGGTTTATGTTCAGCCAACTGCCCATCGTACGCAAACGTTCAACGAAAATTGGTTGGATTAAACCGGTTTGTGTTGGACCAACGTTAACCAATATATTTCCGCCGGTGCTGATTGTGATTACAATTTCTTTTTTTTAAAAGAAAATTCATTCAAATTCAAAATTCATGTGTCAAAAAAGGTGAGAAAATTAAAGAACATACCCTTTATTAACTCTTCATTGGTTAAAAAATCGTCCAAACGAGCATCAGCTCGATAGCCCCAGCTTTTTTTATCAATGGTCATTGCATTTTCCCATTTATGCTTTTGCAAAATACCTTAAATTGTAACGAATTTCATGTGAAACCATATGAAAGACTCTGACTCATCACTTGATTTCTTCACTCTTGCTCGCGATAATGTATTCAAAGTAACAAAAAAAGGTTACTATGCAAATAAAAACGGAAGAGAATTGATTGGCGACCGCAAGAGGTCAAAATAGTTCAAATCAATAAATGATAATTGGTGAGTCAGAGTTCTCAATATTTGATCACGAATTTTAAAATGAAATTAAATTTTTATCTCTATAGCAGTAATGTGCAAAAGATGAGTATGCACACTGGCAACCAAAATGTTTAATTCGAAACGAAAAAAATTATGTCAAAAATGTTATTTTTGCTATTCATTTATAAAATAACCCTCCAAAATATTAGAGAACGCACATTACTGCATTGTGTATGTTATAAAAACGATACCTGGATTAAATCGATCGCCACACGTGTAAAAACCGCCATGTTTGCACTGCGAATCAATTCCCCATCGGTCTGAAATAATCAAATTGATATAGAATGTGAGTGATTTTTATTAGGAGTCAGGAAACTGTATAATTTATACCGTTGACAACGACCGTTTTCCTAACTGGACTCTCATTGTAGAGCCTAAAACAATAAAATTCGAATATAAGTGTGAGATTTTTTTTCTATTCAACGTCAAGCAATAATACCATGCAAGAAATCCAGTCGCTTCCCAATATTCACAAGACGCTTCACCTTCACCATCTGACCAAAAAACTTCAGGAGAATAGTTATTAACCAATTCCATCATCTCGGGCATAACCTAAATAGACACAGAATAGACCACAAAAGAACAAATCTGTTTTAATTCCGAATCGAAATTGTAGATGTCGGTGTGATATATGCTGCAATAAAACCCATTCTGTAGATATGTACTGCCATCTACCGTATTCGATGCACAAAACTTATCTAACAAAATGTGGTTTGAATATTTACTTTCTTGGTAACAAAATCATTTTCGGTGTATGATTTTTGTTTATCGCTGAGATACATCGGATTAAACCATTCAAAATATGAATGATAAAGACCAAATTTGAGTGTTGTATTTGCACGAATTGCATTGGAAAGTTCACCAATTAAATCACGATGTGGACCAACATCCATTGAATTCCAACTGAATGAGTATTTTGATGGCCACAGGGTATAGCCATCATGATGTTTACTTGTCAAAACCACATATCTGAAGTCGAGAATAGAAAATAAATTAGACAGTTAACTCGTTCAACAATCAAAAACATTTTCCAAAAGCAATTACTTTGCACCGCTTTGTTCAAATAACTTGGCCCACTCGTTGGCATTGAAGTGTTCTGCAGTGAATTGAGGCGCAAACTCTTGATAGGTGAAACCAGGCTTAAAATTCTTTTTCATGTATGAAACATATGGTTGATCTTTATTATCACGTAAATACTTCCAAAACCATTCAGTACCAAATGTGGGCACCGAATATATGCCCCAATGAAGAAATATTCCAATTTTTGCGTCATCGTACCATTTCGGCAATGGTCGACGGTCTAAACTATCCCAATTTGGTTCGTAGGTCGGCTCTTCCACCGTTATCACTTGATATTTTTCACATTTAATGCACACAAACAGCACTTGAACAATCGCAAACAACATCCAATGTCTTTCAAAAGTCATTTTTTCGTTTTTAAATTCTACAAATTGTTGCACACCGCAATATGCTACTGCAATATTTAAATGCGTTCGAAAATATAAAACTAAAAATGAAACAAATGAAAGGAATTGTACACAAACATTATACTAATCTAATCAACCAACCAGGATGGAGTAATCAATTTTAATAACTCACAGGGTGTGAACTGTTGAACCATCACAAATGTGACAGTTGCACGAAAACATTTATTATTATGTTGATTGTTATTGTTGTTGTACATACATCACCCTGTCAACGTAATTTAATCAAAGTCAAAATGCGTCCAGTTGTGTGTGACGATAATGCGGTTTGTAGTACTCATTACTCTTGTTCGATAGACTGCAAAATTAAATGTGTGTTTGTTTTTTGATAAAATCAATGGACTTTCTTCTATTTATAATTTTCGAGTTTTGAACATTTGTTTATTGATATTTTGTTTAGCATACACGCGCATTAACAGCATGATAAGCCGAAAGCAATAATGAAAAAGTAAATGAGTGAAACACTTGGTCAGAGCAAACGATTGATCAGAGAGCACATCTTATTGTGCTGCATTGATTCAGGCGTTTTGTTTTTCTCTTTTAATGTGAAAAACGAAGATTTATTTCACCGCATACATGCGAATGAGGCGCGATTGAACTCTGAACATCCATAGAGGTTGAGAGATTCTTTTGAAAATGTACATTAAAAGAAATCACTTCAATTTTATTGGATATATATAATATATTATATATTTAGCACATGGCAAACGCTTCTTTTTTCCAATTTGTATCATTTTTTCCCCCATTTTATGTTTCTTCTACATGTTGTCAAAAGAGGTGAGAGACGATTAAAGTTAATATGTTTTAATTGATAAGACAGATGACTACAAAATATGATCAAATAATTCTTGATTAAAACAAAACTAGTTAATTGTAATGTATCCTTCATGTTGATATTATTACTATATAATTACAATATATAATAAAGATTATGTTTTTTGTGCAAAATAAATTTTAAAAAAATCTAATCAAATGCTCTCTTCATCGAAGAAAAATTATCGTGATGAATTTTTGTCTATCGTTTAAACATGCATATCATCGATATGATGTAATTCAACCGGTTGTGGTTCTCTCACGAATTCGAGTTGTTCATTAATGCGTGCAAAATATGTCGGTATATTACCGCGGCCTTTGATATAAGTTTCGCCACGATAATCACAGCGAATACCAAACGATTGTAATTCTTCTGCCGATTCTTTGGTAAGTTGGATTTTTCCAGGAATTCCAGTGCTGTCCATTCGTGATGCCATATTTACACCGTTTCCCCATACATCATACAATGGTTTGCTTGAACCAACAACGCCTGCCATCACTTTGCCATGGGCGATTCCTGTAATCAATGCGCTCGTCAATAAAAAGTAAATCTTAATCTCGCGAACAAATAACTTCGCATTTCATTTCCATTTTATTTTCATCATTCTTTTCATTCTATAATCGGGGTGTTTTTGATTTGATAACGAAAAAGAAACCTCGAAAAAAAAAACAGTAGAGAAAAAATAAACTGACAATCTTACCAATTCGCAGCTTTCCGTCACTTTGAAAATTCTCCGTATTAAACGCCTCAAGGATTCGCATTAGCTCAAGTGCAAATTCAGTTAATACGTAAACAACATTTTGTGATTGTCTGCTGCTTTGTTTTCGTTCCCGTTTCGATGGATCGTATCGTGGGTTTTTCTTCGGACTTTTAGGAATGGCTTCTGGTGGGACGAATGTTTTGTTTTTGTTTTTTTTGTTCAAATGTATTTATTCCATTTTAATTTTAAAGAAAAACTCTGTCTTGAGTATCTCTTTAAAAAAAATCTGTTTTTATATTTAGCTTACTGAAATTGAAAGTATTCCAACTACGACGACCATTTGAAAGCAATGATGTGCGTTGATTTGGCGAACTACATCCACTGTTTAATGATGCGGATGAATCACTCCGTCCCGGATCCAAGCCACACGCCACCATATACGTCCAACCAGACACTTTAATTTTTTCCAATTTCAATGGGCCCGCTTTCGACAGCAATTTCTCATCAAAATCACAAATAATACGATTTAATATGCTCAAAATATTGCGTTCAATATCAACGGTAGCGTCGGATTGGATGTCATAGTTCGTTATTGTTGCAAACATGATGGCCACGTTATCATACTCTTCGTAATATAATTCGTCCTTCATTTGACGACTCATGTAAATTTCAGCTAGAATAATGACAACGTTAAGAAGATTTTTTTTTTTTTGTAAAAATAGAATGCAGAGTTTTGTTTTGTCAAAATTACCAACATGCGCAGGTAAAATGTTTTGCACCAATATTTTGATGGTGTCTTTTGTGCATTCGGATTCTTCTTGTCGTTTTTGCAATTGCTGCTTCCATCTATTTATAGAGAAATAAGAACATTGACACAAAATAATTCAAAATATTTCATAATTTTTTAAAAATTGCACTTTAGATAGGAAAAAAAATATTTAATTCTAACGTGTAATCAACCCGTGTAATGTATTCAGTTTGTCTGTCAACCATGTGCAATGAAACGGTGATAAAAATTACAATTAATATGTGTCCAACTTTTGGATCCAACGATGCACTTATCGATGGGCTTGTCTGTGAAGAAAAAAAAAATGCTGAAAAGAATTTGGGGTTTAATCGATTGAATTCCATTTACATTAAACAGAAAATCATAGGACGCAAATATAATCCATGAATAAAAGCCCACAATCAAAGCGCCAACAATAAGTTTGAGTATGAAATGTATGCGACCAAATAAAAAATTCACACAAATGGCCATAATTAGACTTTGAGTAATGCCCTGCAAATAAAGAAGGGAAATTGTTGCATTTAACTAATCGAATTTATTGAATTTTTTTTTAGATATATAAAAATAAATAGAACCCATGGATTAAAGCACTGTAAACATTTGATTGAATGTGCATGGTTTCCATCATGCCCGCGAATCGATTCATAGTCGATCTGTTGAAATGCAGTAGAATAGAAGGAGTTTAAATAAAATGTACATGTATGTATAATAGATGACAAAAATGCATGTTTCAGCTTGAAATTCAACAATAATTGCTTACCAAATGAATTAAAGCGCTAAACGTAAGCACACAAACTGACACAAAATAAATCAGCGTTCGGGCTACAGCGTTGCTCATTACACTTTTCGATGTATTAAATAGGTATCGCAAAAATGGGTTCGTTGGCAATTCTATCAAATTTGGATCGTCTTCGTTTATTGGTCGAATTAATATCCAGATTTTTTTAAACCATGTTATCGATATGAAGAAAAGTAAAACTAAAAAGCCGATTATGTTCAGCACCCAATAGCTCCAACCGTTCCTAGAATATTTTATACAAACGATCAAGAAGTGCAGAAAAAAACAACAACAATAAAATCAGTAAATAAAATGAAACGGTAAATTATAGAGAAAATTGAGTGATGTGCAACCATGAAGGTATCTATGTGTGTGTGTGTGTGTTTGAATTTTGAAATTGCTCACGGATTATTTAGTGACTGTGCAACGATGATTCCAATAAAAACGATGAAGCACATGAATGTACTGTACTTGAGCATTAAATCTTGCTCTTGTAAAAAAGACATCTCCCATTTTTTATTACGAAATCGTAATAGAATTGTCGAGACTTTGCTACTAAGTGATGAACGTTCGTATTCGGCATCCTCGCAACTATCACGGCGACGGCTCGAAAACAAGTGATTGAAACTTTAGACGGTGAACGAGATAGAGAATGAAGAAAGAATTGGAAAGTCAGAAAAAAAAGAAAGAAAAAATTAAACCGAATCATTTTAAAGCAATTGGAAGTTACTCTAGTAGTAAAAAAAATCTTTCGAATGGAAAACTTACTGAAATTTTCCGATTGGCATTCGGTCCAACTCCAGTGCCATTTCACTATTGGTTTGTTTCATAATTTGCATATACTGTTCCATTGAATTTTGCATAAAATTCTTACCGATACAGTTTCCATTTCGATATGAACAGTCAAGTAATAGCTTTCTCTGTAAATTTGACCGAAATGGAGTATTTATGCATTGAATTTTATTTACAATATGCGTAATAGCAATATACATTACATTATTGCGTGTAGATCGATTCATCATTCGTTTCATGCCAGAAGAATATCTTCTATTCAGCTCGTCCGGACTGTAATACTGATTGATGCAAACAATTTTCCATTAAATATAAATGAGAAACATTACATCTCTCACCAACTCGAACTCAACAAAATTATATTGTATCATTACTTACGTGAAAATCACCTCCATAATACTGTGGTGATATCAAAAATGTTTCAATATTATTTTTGAGTAGAACCGGATCTTTTTTTGCCATTTCTGTGCCCGGTTCAAAAAAGTACTGATCTTCTAGCAATTCCAGTGTTTGCTGAGTAATGTGCACTTTGCTGTTGATGAAAAGTAATTGAAAAAAGGGGCTGAACCAAACTATTTTCAAAGAAACAATTTTTTTTACCCAGGCACTCCAGTTGTTTCTAATCTATTGGCAATGCTAACATCTTTGGACCAGATGTCATATTGCCATTTACAAGCACCAATTACACCTGACATTATTGAGCCCGAATGGACGCCAATTCGCATATCAATATTCAGATTATTTCGTTGTGCACGCACTTCACGAATATCACGAATCATTCGTAATCCCAAGTCAACGCAACTCCTGGCATGTTGCGGATTTGGTTCGGGTACACCGCTCACACAATAATAGCAATCGCCCAAGAATTTGATGCGCAAAACATTGTACTCCTGTAAACACCGAACGTTATGCAATTAATCGACGTTGTAAATTCCATAAGTGCAAGTGTTTGGAATCATAAACGTGGACCAACAACAACGCAAACAACGTCAACAACAATGAATTAAAAAATAAAAGAATTACCTCGGATGCCTGATCGAATTTAACGAATAGTTCGTGTAAAACTTCAACTAACGTTTTAACTGGTAGCTGGGTCGTGATGTATGTGTAATTCACAACGTCGGCATAAAGTACGCTGACGCTTTTATGGTGTTCAATATAAAGTTTGATTGGTTGTCCACGCCATTGACGTCTCGGAATCGGTATATCGAGGCTGTGCTGCAAGTGTGCTCGTAATTACATTTCTTACACGAAAAAAAGGTGCTTTTACTTCGTTTATATATAAACCTTAGCCCGAACTAACTTGTCCAGTTGCTGCTATTATTGATATAGAAACGATATTATGTTGCCGCATATGCATTCACCAGCAACTATCAATGGTAGCAGCTGAGAAGTTAGCTTGTGCTAAGCTCTGTTCATACACTACAAAAACATCAACGACAAAAAAATCAATTACCTTTTGGCATTTAATTCCTGTGTTGATTCGTGTTTCTCTTGTCGAATTTTCTCAATCATACCACGTATGGCCTTCTCAAGCACGGATGCCGTGTGCGCTGGCAAAATGCTTAACAGCAAATTTTTCTATAGATCACATTACAATCGATAATAAACGATGAAACATATCAATTGTCAGGTAAAAAAAAAAAAGAATGGATAGACAAAATACACAAATGACACAACCGAACAAAAATAATAAAGAAATTTCAACGAACCTCTTGATCACGAGCATATCGTAATAGCAAATTTCCTTCGACGCACTCACGACGATCTAGAAATGCTCGTCGAATAGCCACTTCATTCTGTAATCGTACACATACGCCGAAAAAATTAACACCCAGCAAATATACCAAGTCCGTGATTGTCTGCATGCATGTATTTGTACCAAAATATGAAGACAACAAAAAAAAAGTAGATCGACAAGAAGGGAGGAAAAAATTGAATTGAAACAATCGAAAATTGGTGAAAAATGTTAATTACTTTGATTACGGCATAGTCGTCTAGACGATAAGTCATAACATGTGTCACAAGTAAATAACAAAATGAGGTCGACATTGCCAAAATGACGCTGTGCAAATTTTCGGGCAACGGCAAGAATATGTAAATTGCAAAAATGATGTAAGCATCGTAGCTTGGCCGTAGCGGTGGTCTCACATGCGTTCGCACCGAATGGTATAACGGTACAATAATATCCAATATAACCAAACCGATAACAGTTGCCACCGAACCGAAATTCGGTATCCACGTTTGCTTTTTAATTAAATGCTCATTGAATGACGATATTAACGACACCCACACAACAATTATACTCGCCAAATTGCAATACACTTCCGGGCTAATTGGCGCTGATTTCTGTGAATAATTGAAGCGAATTTAAAAAAAAATTAAAATATAATTCAATTAAATAGCAACACAACAATCAATTGAAAATTGATTGGAATTTACCTGCGTTGCGACTAAAGCAATCGTATGCACCATACCAATTATGGTATGCATCACAAAAAATACCGACAAGTAACTACGCTGCAATCGTTGCACGTACGTTCGATAAAATGTTTCAAGTCCCAAGTTTTCACATTCCGTCTATGAAAAGGAAACATATTAAGAAAATATATCATTTTGAATTAAAAAAAAAAAACAGATTCTCATTCAAATACCCGTAAATTTCCCCACTCCCATCTACGATAGTCGTTGATTGCTCGGAATTTTTTATTTTTCGGTTTATCACTGTCATCATCGTCATCCATCGATTCGGATGTAAAGTGTCTTCGATTCAATTGCTCTGACTGCCGACGTACAACCAAATCCATTTCAAATTTTACACACTATTTACACAACAGTCTAGTATCTAGTTTTCCTACCGAAATCAAAAAAAAAAAAAAAATTATGAATGAGTTAGCGAATGCAGTTGCATTTAAACTAACAATGAACGAATTATTTCATTTAGCGAGACGACACACGAGTTAAAGCGAGAGAGGTAATTGAATGTAAAAGATTTTGACGTGGATCGGCTTTTGTTTATCAACAGTCTTCAATGAAATTTTGATTTTTATTAGAAAAAAAAGGAGAAGAAGAAACGAATACAGAGAATATTTGTTATCTTATCACTCTTTGATCAACTGATATTTACAATCAATTCTAATTCATATATTCTTCTCAATTTAATCGAAATGCTATTGAAATAAAACTCCAATTTTTTTTTTGCCATTTGAAAATCATTTCTTAATTTGTTGACGTCTTTCGACTATGACCAACTTTTTTTTTCGGATTAAACAAACGTGATAACATGAACAAAAGATTCTCGAATTCGAAACTTGCATGCGTCAATATGACTATTCACTACACATTCAATCTGGATACATTGGTGCATATTCTTTGCCATTTAAATGCATAAATTTGTATGCAGGTTTATTGTCGAGTGAGTTCAATTTTTCGAATTATCTGCTCTTAGTTTTTAAAGGATATGAAGAAGTGTATTCGATTTATTGAAAATCAATAAAAATTCCACCGAAACAATCAATTACAACAGCGAAAATGGTTCTCTACTTTATAAAATATTTTGAAGCTTCAGCAATCAAGGTTTTTTTTGCTTCAAGCTCAAATTAGCTTTATTTATGTTGCCCCAAACTCAAATGAGTTTGAAGAGAGTAAAAGTGTACTTTTTATGTGAAACAAGTTTGAATTTGTTGAGAAACATTCTTGGGAACGTTGTGAGAGCCAATGTCATGGGAAGCCAGACGGACTTTTCTCGTTCATTTATAATGGTGCTGTAAGCTAGAGTGTGTTGACTGATATCGATGACACATATTTCAAAACTGTCAATATTCGCAAAACTCTCCCCGGAGCATAGTGACAAGTCACTTGTTTTTTTTCCAACTTCTAACTCAATTCAATAAACACATTGGTACAATCGATTCAATCACTTGATCGTCGTTAAACAAAAAAAAAGCGAATACAAATAAAACAGAAAATACTAATACATTGATTTTTGTATTAATCAAAGTTTACAATCAAATTCAAATATAACAGTATTTCGCATTAATATAAGCATTATATAACCATTTTTGTGACATTTTTAGCTTGAGTTATGAAAGAAAAAACATTCAAACATTTTCACTTGATGCATAGCCCTTGGATACGCACGCATTCCGAATGATTCAAGTAGTTGACCACCATAAACTGACACAAAACGCCGTAAGGTAAATTTTTTAAAAAAATCTTTGATAGAAGCCACACACTTATCGTTTCATTTATAAATCATTTGATTATCAATTTATCGCTATGATTCCACATAAAATATATACTAATGGCGAAAATGGTGTAAGTAAAATGAATCGTATAAACACTGACTAAAGTGAATTCTTAACATTTACGGTGACATGTTTCTCACTCTTTGACTTACTAATACACTTAATTCCATCCGGTTTCTTTTGCTCTGAATGCACCACACAATGCGGGTAAAACTCAATCTATCACTTGAATGATATTAAATTTTTCTTTTTGTTCGAATTTTAGTAAAAAAATCTCACAACAATTTTAATTTTTTTTTTCATACGATGTGCGCTGTCATGTGCAAACACAAACAAAGCGAATGGAAAAACGTTTTTTAGTTTTATCGGTGAATGATACACTTTTTCATTCCGATAGCTTGAATTGTTTGATGTATATTGGTCGAAATGGCAGCAATCTGGACTATAATTGACTACAATGTGTTACCGATTGCTTCAATGAATAGATAAGATGAATGTGTCGAATAATACAAGTGTACACATTTTCATTTGTCAATGTAACCAGTGGTGGTGCACTTGTCTTTGCGACATGCCGCACAATTTCATTGTTACCTTATTTCGGTGTGATATCGCGAGCGCGCACACACACACATATTCAATCAATCAGGCGAAAAATTCAATGCAAAAAATAAAAAGAATGAATTAGAAAGTGTGTGCGTGAAAAAAAAACCAAAGCCTTTTAGTCATTGTGGTAAATTGTGTTCGATAACATGAAATTTTACTTGTAAATAAAATCGTTTCGCGAATGATTCATTGCAAAAGCATGTAAATAAGATGTTATCACATTCGATAACATTGATCGGTAAATCAATTTGATCGAATGCAACACTCTGAAAAAACGTGTACACTTTTGACAGCAACACGTCAAGCTGTTTTGTTTTTCTTTATTATATATATGCAAAATCATTGACGCTTCAATTTCGTCTAAGTGTACATATTGTTTGGGGTGAATTCGTCATGTTTTCATTCGGCCGTGAATTTGCACTTAAATCAACCAGCCAATTGACACCGTGACTTTATACGGGTGTGTAAAAGTTAGTAATCTCCACTCGATGAACGAATATGCAAGCATGTCAACAAATTGACGGGAAAGCGAGAGAGAAACAGAATGAGAGTGAGAGGAAGAGAAAATGAAGGGGAGAAATTGATTTGTTCATGTGCGAACTCACAATTTTGTGATTTTGGTTTGATGCTTTTTAACTGCTGATTTGTTTTTTTTTTTCTTCCACGATTCACACAATGCAATAAATATGGGAATTTGCTCATAATTTTTTTTCTCTCTCTCCTTTACACGTATCTTGTTGAACAAATAATAATCAATGCGAAAATTTACGTACGGATATTTATGCTCGTGTTAGGTCGTTTGAAAATTTTATTATATGCTAAAATTGCAGCGAAAAAAGGGCGACGGGCGACAAAGAGAAAGAGATTTTTTTTGATGAAAACAGATGATGGAACGTAAAGCGGTACGATGAAATATTTCACTTTTCAACCAATGAGCGTAGCGCAAATGTCAGCAAGCGGGATGGAGAAATAGAAAAAGGTTGTGTGTGTGAGAGAGAATGAGCAAGAGCATGACTTAAAAATAAAACGTAATTTCCGTTGTTTTTACTATTATCGATGAAGGTATATATATATGATGAAGCTCTCATTAACGATTTCATGCGTAACACAAAATGAATGTGCTTGCGAGCTCAATTGGTTGAGATGAATGAAAAAAAAATGGCGGTAACAGCATCAACAGCAGTAACAATTGTATGTGTGAATGTTTTCTATAATGAAAGTCATCGGTGATAAATTACGAGATTCAATTGGATTTTCATTTACAATGGCTTAAAAGTCAACACAGAAGAAAAACACACAATCATATGCATACACATTTATTGATGCGATATGCTTTCGGTGAAGGATCGTCATTTCAATCCGAACAAAAAAAA